TTCTTTCTTGTTGTCTTGTTTATTATGATTATTGTGGAGTATCGTTTATCTGCTAGTCTCGTTGGGTGGTTTTCGTTTTGGTATCCGTTGTTCCTTGAGGGTTTGGCATGGGTATGGGTTAGTATTTTGTATTTTCACTAGTTATCTTTTGTGAGGATTATTAGTGGATGCGGCGTTGGTTTGAATGTCGGGTAGCTTCTGCAGTCTGAGGAATGGATATTTGAAGATTGGGTTCCTTTCGGGCGTGATGATCGGTGTGGAGATGTGTTTTTGCGAAGGTTGCTAGTGCTAGTGGGAATCAGTCTGAGTGTAAGTGTTGCGTTTTGTGCAAGGTTATCTTGGGAGGTCGATGATAGCGAACGGTGGTTGGTAGTCAGTACCCTAAATGGGGGAGAATTGGAGAATTCTCTGGAGGATCGACGAGTATGAAAGGTTGTTTATCTGCATGGGATTCAGTAGTGTCTCGGTTAGCCAAGGGCATTGGTTGGTATGAGTAAATGGTAGGCGTGCGGGGCAGGATACAGACCAAGAGATTGATTGGGCAGGGCCTGGGAGCAGGCTGGGATCGAGTATGTATGATGGAGATAGAGTTCGGAACCCCTAGGGGGCTAGAACAGTATGCATTGGAGGATTTCCCGGAGAGGTAACTTGGAATGTTGATTGCTAGTTGAGCGGTCCGGATAGACTGAAGGCCAATAGGCGTACCAGTCAGGACGAAGGCTCGGTGAATGGTCCCGCTAGACTGAAGGCCCTGGAGGGCGGTCCACGTCTGCTGAAGGTTATGAGAGTGGTCCAGTTTGGCTGAAGGCCTGGTAAGGAGGACCAGTCATGCTGAAGACTCTGTAGGTGTCGTTAGATCAGTGCGAGGTAATGGATTGAGTATGTTGCGATGTGTTAGCATCAGAAGGTCTGGCCCCGGGTATTGATCTTGATTAGTGGAGATGGTTCATGGACTCGAGATTCCTTGCGAGCAGATTCAGGGCATGTGTGTTGCATGGATAGCGGTTATGCTATAAAGGGGTGGTGCAGCGTTGGGTGAGCACTGTGGCACTTGTTGTGGCGACAAGGTAGCCAAGTGGATTTCCTTGGTAAGGAAAGAGAAGAGAGGAGTGTAGCTCCGAGAGAAAGAGTAAATTCGCGGAAGTGAAAGTGGCAGTGTAGAGTTATGATCGGAGTGGTCCGACGGTGGTCATTGAGCAGCATGATTGCAGTGGTGGTATGGAATGACATCATGATGGGGTGTCTGCTGAGGATGCGGAAGGGATTCCGCGGGTGTAGAGCCAAGAGTCTTAGGAGGGATGCAGGTATGGAGTTTTGGATTCCCAACTTGTTTTCGGTGAAGGAATTGTGTAGCAGTGGTTCATCCTGAGGGATGTTTTGAAGGTCATCAGTGTGATGGGTTTTCCTAACCCGAGGGTGCTAGAGATAGTTCAGCATGTGCATGTGATTGCAAGAAGAGAACTCATGGGAGTTGCTCTGAAGAGTGTGTCTTTCTGTCAGCATGGAATGGATAGAGTGGGATTCGGATCAGGGATCAGGTGGTTCATGGTTTTATAGATCTTATGGGTCGACTAATGGTTGTGATTTGGAGCAGTGTTGCATCATGAGTGGTACTCAGTTGTTGTGTGTGGTTATCAGAGGGTAAAGCCGGTGGCCGGCTTGTGGCGGTGGTCAGGACACCGCGAGCAAAGAGCAAGTAAGTTCGAGTTTCGTTGGGTATGCCTTGAGGGACCTGGTTCGGTTAAGGCCATGTGGCGTGTTGTGGGAGTATTTTTGGAGATGAGTTGCCGTAGGCTTCGAGGACGAAGCCTAATTTAAGTGGGGGAGAATTGTAACATCCCGAAATATCAAGAGTAGAGTTGAAGGGATAAAAGTGTAAATCTTGAAGGGCAACTCGGCGAGTCCATGGATGGACTCGGCGAGTAGGGTCGTGACTTTGGTCGCGTGTCAAGTGGCCTACTCGGCGAGTCCAAAGATGGACTCGGCGAGTAGGTGCTGAGTGGAGAAAACCCTAAATCCGGGGAATGAGCCCTATTTAAAGAACATTATACCCTCTCCCCAGCCTCTTTGATCCCCCTTGAAGTCCAGAAACCCTAGAAAGCGTGATTGTGGAAGATTGGAGTGCATTTGGAGCTTGGGGAGGTGTTTGTTGAAGTAATCATGAAGGAGAAGAGGCTTGGGTCAAAGGGCTTTGTTTAGATTCGGATCTCTTGCTATTGGAGGCTTCATTTTTGAGGTAATATCTCGTTCTTGGGCTGTGTTCTTCTAGATTCTTCATTGTGGGGTTGTATGGGAAGCTTAGATTTGTGGCATCTTGAGTTTGAAGGATAGATCTGAGGTTGCTACCTCAGATCTGGAGTGGAGAAGGTCTTAAGGGCATTAAAGTCCCTATTCTTGTGTTATTGATGGAGCTATCTTGTCCCAAACCCCAAACCCTAGAGTAAAAATGCTTAAATCTTCGTGGATTCACGTAAAGATTGCCACTTTACGTGATGGATGGCCTTAGGAGAAGTAGATCTATGGTTTGGATCATCTGCATGGCTTGGAAAGCTTCTGTATGGATTCAGACCCGGTGGTACTCAACGAGTCACATGGGTGGACTCGACGAGTTGCTTAAAGATGAGCTGGAACTCGACGAGTGGGATGAACAACTCGGCGAGTAGGTTGAAGATAGCCTTAGACTCGGTGAGTCTTGTCGAAGAGTCCCAATATTTTCTGGTTGAGTCGAGAATCGGTGAGTCAAGGGATGACTCGGTGAGTTGGGTGCGAGTGGACTCAGAGTTGCTGGACTCGGCGAGTCTCGGGGTAACTCGGCGAGTTAAGTCGCAGATTGAGGGAAGTTCTGAGCTTGGGGACTCGGCGAGTCATCGGGTTGACTCAGTGAGTAGAGTCAGTAAGGGGTTGACTTTGACTTTGTCCAAAGGTTGACCAGTTGTCTGCCAGGGGTATTTTTGGTAATTAAGGGTATTTATTGAGTTGAGTGTTTCGGTGTTCAGTGGAGGAGTTCGTGTCGGATTTTGGAGTAGCGGGATCTTATCCTTTCAGCCGGCAGTTTCGAGGTGAGTTATCCTCACTATATCAACAGGGTCTAAGGCACCAAGGCCGGCCCTTTTATCGGATTGAGATCCAGGTATCTGTTGTTATGTTATTGCTTTGATATGGTTGCATCCTGGTAGTTAGGATGGTATTTGCTAGTGACCGGTTAGGTCGGTATCCTGTTAGAGTATGATGTGTTATGTGATCTGCTAGATCGGTTTGCCTGAATATGAATTGTTATGTGATTGTATGTTTATGTGCACATGGTTGTTGGACTGGAGTTGGGTTGAGGCGGGTCCTACTTCGTGCTGTAGGCCAAGATACCCAGGGCGGACCGGTTATTCCGAAGGCCCGGTGAGCGGTCCAGATAGGCTGTAGGCCCCACGAGGGCGGACCAGACATTTCGAGGCTTGGAGAGTGGACCGGGACGACTGAAGGCCCGGGCGCGGGTGGACCAATCATACTGTAGACTCAGAGAGTGAACCAGGTGAGTTGAAGGCAAGGTGCGGGCGGACCAACCCACGGCAGACTCGAAGGACATTATTGGACTCAGAGAGTGGACCAGGTGAGTTGAAGGCCCAGTGCGGCCGGACCAACCACACTGTAGACTCGAGGGACATGATTGGACTCGGAGGGTGGACCCGGTGGACTGAAGGCCCGACAAGGCGGACCAGTCCCAAAGTAGACCCGATATGCATGGTTGTTCTGTGATTCATTATGAGATAGCATGATATGTGTATGGTATATGTGGTTGGTATTTCGGGGGTATCTCACTAAGATTTCGGGCTTACAGTTGTGGTTTAATGTTTTTCAGGTTCTTCAGGAGACCGTGGCAAGGCAAAGGCGTGATCGTACCGCTCCTCATGATTTTGTAGTAATGTGATTCTGGGAATACTCTAAATGATTTGTATTGAAAACCTTTTTGTAATAATTTAATGAAATCGGGTTGTTTTTGAAAAATTTAAATTTGTTGGATTTTTCGGTCGTTACAGTCTTCCTGGCTCCTTCTTCTTCGGGCAGTCCCTCGAAATGTGCCCCTCCTCGTTGCACTCATAACAAACCTTCTTAGTGAACGTGCATTCGTTGGCATAGTGCCCAGGCTTTCCTCATTTGAAACAAGTGAATCCTCCGTCACATTTCCCTTGGTGCTTCTTCTTGCATTTGTCGCACCATTTTGCTTCGGCTCCTCCTCCGTTCGAACCAGACTTCGAGAATTTACTCTTCTTACCGGAACTCAAGGATCCATCAAATTTCCTTTTCTCTCCCACCTCCGCTCTCTCAGGACCCTTCTCTCGTATCTGAGTCTCCACATTCTTAGCTGCCCAGATGGCGGCTTTTAGAGTGGTATTTTTCTTGACCATTGGACCAAAGTCCGGTGGTAATCCGAGGGAAAATTTGTTAACCTTGGAGAGTTCAGCTGGGATGAGGTGAGGAACAAGCTTCATCTTTTCTGTAAAGCTTGCAGCGTATTCAGTAACCACTACTAGAAAAACAGCCTTTTACGACGCTCATTGCGCGTCGTAAAGGGCTCAGACGATGCACAAATGCGCGTCAAGGAAGGCCCTGTCATAAAGAGAGACGACGCGCTTTTGCACGTCATCTATAGACGACGTGCATTTACGACGCGCTATTACGACGCACGTTTACGACACGCATTGCGTATCAAGTAAGGCCCTGTCATAAAGGAAGACGACACGCATTCGCGTGTCGTAACCTTACGACGCACGTGTTAATGACATGCAATGCGTATCAAGAAAGCCCATGTCAAGAAAGGCCATGTCATAAATGAAGATGACACACATTTTTGCGTATCATAATTTTAAATATTTAAAAAAAAAATATTATTTATAGATTTACTAATTTTCAAATTAAATTTGTATTTAATGTCTCATAATAGAAAATAAAATATCATATACAGAAAATACAATCGATTGCATAAAATTTAATGTCGTACATATAATCGTTCCATGGAAAGATAAAACAAATCAATAGTTGTAACAAAAATTTACAAACTAATTAGATACAAGAAATATAAAAAATATACCCTCAAATGCTTTTCAAAGTCTAATCTCCACGTCAACTCTTCAACTCACTTCTCTAGTTTGTCCTTAGGTTCTCTAAGGGCTCCAGCATCTCTAGCAGTTTCAAAGGCAAAAGAAGAACAGAACGTGATATTATTTTGCCACCTATATGTTCTTCAATGATGTGATGAGAATCATACCCCTTCAAAGGCACAAGTAGCCAATAACACTTGTTATGTCAAGCACAAGCACAGATAGAAATATGCCACTTTGAGTAAAATCAGTGTAAGTAAAAAGTCATAAAGTAGTAGAAAGTAACTATATTTATTGAAGAGTATCATGTAAACTTGTATGAAGTACGCAAGATTCTAAACAGTACCTCTTTAATGGAATGATGTTATTTTTGTAATCCAAAGGAACTGTTGAAAGTGCAGGTTCAAGTGGCAAAGTCGTAAATGTTTCATTAAGCATTAATTTCGCCTTATGTAGTTCATGTTGCACTTTATCCAAATTTCCTTGGATATTGTAAAGCATTGCTTGTAAAAGCATCTACTCACCCCTGACCCCTCACTTTTGGTTCCCTATCAGATGCAGCATCAAGAATAGAGAACACGATCTCACCAAACATAATCAATAATCAGATTGAAGTATATATTATGAGTAAGTAATAAAGTACATGTAACACAATAAAGTATTATTAAGGAACTTATGATTTCAAATATTATTTTTTACACTCAGATGCCAAAATATTTTATGTTATTCTTCTACAAGTTGAGAACCAACTCAGACATTAAAGATAATAGTCCACCAGCATGCAAAATTTCAATAAGATGTTTTAGTTTTTCTTTAACCCATGTTAAAAATAGTCAAACATTCTCATAACCAAGTTAGCTAGAGTTATCAGACCAAATAATGGAAACAAAACCATTGGAAGTTAGGGTGATGCTATGTCATGGTCCTGCTACTGCCTGAGATAGGAAAAGTAATATATATATATATATATATATATATATATACACGCCAAAGTGAAGCAATTAATGGTCTAAAATTACAAATATAACCAAATATTCAAGAGTAAAATTATAACTTGGTGGTTATTTTGAGTAAAAAAAGCATTTTGTCTTTAATGATAGAAAGATATATATTAGAGAAGTGCCTATCATATGAATTAGACCACATGCCACAAACAAATCAAAACCATGTTATTAAAAGAATTATGAGCTTGATTTACTGAACATATAAATGTAAGCCATATAAAGAAATTGCAATTGGAAAATTTAAATGTTACGAGTTACCCCAACCAGAAGCAGAAGATTTTCAGGAATTTTAAAATAAATATAAAATATGAATAACTTAAAGAAGCCATCAGTATCACTTACATCATCCTGATGTGCAACAAGCTTTTTCTCATACTTCTTACGAATGTCTTATACAATCTAATTGTTATTAGTATTATTATTATAATTATTATTATTACTATCTGTTTTATTATTATAATTATTATTATTACTATCTGTTTTATCTTTATCCGTTTCCTCAAAATCTTTATCTGTATTATTATTATAATTATTATTATTACTATCTAATTGTTATTAGTATTATTATTATAAGTGTCGAATAATACTACTTCAGAAATTACCATCAGCAGTGTTCCCACATCTGGCTTCTCTTTCAGGTTTTCAAGTATGTCCTCAAGTTGTGACCTAAGATTACCAATTTAGCCCCATTAGTAGGGTAGAGAATTTAATCCAGAAAAGTAATAGTATTTACCAGGATTTGTGTCATTTCAAACTCAAACATGCAAGGTGGTTTTTCAATCTCATATCAAGTATAACATAAGGTAATAAGGGGGTGCTTGGTTTGTAGAATGTTTTTTTTAAAGGAATGGAATCTATCAAAGGAACTGGAATATAATGAACCTGGTCAATTTACAGAACTGGATACATAGCAGATAATCAACATGCAATGAGGTTGGAAAGATTTTCCATATCTCCTCATTTGTTCTTAAACGACGTTTCACCCAAGCATATCTCCTCTCTGTTTTATCCAACTTTGCTAGATCTGAGAGGAAGCAAGAATCTTTTTAGAAATGAAATAAATAAGTTTTTTTTATATCTGGAAAATAGTTATAAGAAACAAACCAGCTCCTTCAAATATCTGCTGATAAGAAATAAGTTCCCTATCACAAAATTTCTTCACTAACTCTTCTCTCACTGATGGATCAAGTACATCAACAACTAAACAAGCATCTGTTAAGTGCTGCAAGAAACTGCTTTCCTCTCTCTCTTTCCCTGTACCTAAGCTGGGACAAAAGAAAGAAGGGTAAAAATGGAAATTAGACTTGTCAAGATAAAAATAAGTTGTAAAAATAACATCAAATTTACACACCTAGAGAAATCAGAATACACATGAGACTTGAGAATTTGTTTGATGTTCTTGAACTTATCTCTTAGCTCTGTGATCTTTGGATTATCTCTGTAACCATCAAAATGACTACATAACTGGCTGACAACCTAAAACACAAAAAATCATGTATATTAGACACTTCATTGGAAACAATTTAAACTTGGCTGTATAATTTAAATGGGTTGGAAAATTATAACATTCATTGAATACATGTTTTTGTTATTAACTTGTTAACAACTACCAATATACACACATCTTACATACCTCTTGCTGTGCAGAAGCCTCTTTATATTGTTTTTTTGAAGCCATTACTTGAAGTTGTTCGATGGTAGACACTGTCATATTAAAATAGGGATAATTTTTTAATGCAATATTTAAAACATGACATATTTTTTGAACAAAAGGAAACTAACCAAGCATATTAAGATGATGGAGGGCTGTGAATGTAGTTTTTATGTGTGTTTTTTTTTTTTGCAAAATCCAGCTTTTAGATGTCACGACATATTTCCTGAACCATTGTTTCACTTTGTTCAGCTTTGGTTTTAATTTGTCTGACTTTATACATGAGTTCCTGCAACTAATGATAACAATAGAGGCAACATAATGATTTTGATTCGTGGAAAAAAAAGTCTATTGATTTTTAGTATAAAAGAGACATAATTGACAACAAGAATCAACACAGACCTGAACAGCACGTGTAGTTGTAGCCAAATCCTCTTTTTCCTTTGTACCTGAATTACTCTGGATATAACAATATCAATCTAAAAAGTAATGAGATTACTCTCAAATCAATGAATGAATGACTACATTACCTAATCACACAGTCATTTGAAGGGGGGATATTATATAGATAATCACCTGTTGACGGACAACAGCAAGAATTTTTGTATCCTGAACACGTATCTCATTGTGTACTTTTTGCGTCAGCGGCTCCACACCCGATAAAGATGCTTCTGCATAGTGAATATTCCATAATGTGAAACTAAGAGAAAAACTTACTAAAAGAAGATTCATCATAAAGATCAACATATATATATAACTTGGGGTTATATATATATATATATATATATATATATATATATATATATATATATATATATAGCTTGGGGTTATTGTACAATTGGACATCAAGTAATTTTATATGATAGACATTGCTTTGTAGGTGTAGGTGTGCCTACAAAATGATGAAGCATTCAACTTTTATAATTTTTAAACTCCTAAAGGAGTCTTAACTATTTTTAAGTACATTACTGATTACTCTTTCCTAGACATATGCAGTACAATCACTCAAGGTCTAAATTGACATTTTCCATTTCTTGAATGTGGACCAAAGATGATGTCCATGTTCTGTTTTCATCCGCATAAACAGCTTTACTCTTCAACTGTGCAATTCATGCCACCGAGTAGGCAAATATCTAGTTCATCCATCATTGATATCAATTTTTCTGTCTACTTAATAAATGAAAAGGGCACTAATAAGAAAGTATAATCCAATCAAAATTCAAAATTGTTAGGTGTGCAATAAGCAATAGTTCTCTCTTTCGGAACTTTTAAGAAGACAGTATATCACTATGATCTGATCTTGAATCCAGAGAAAGTGAGATAAACTGACCTGTAGGGAACATCTGGTTGATGTAGTCCAAAGTACTCGACTTCTCCATTCTCTCTCTACTGAAAGCTCACCACTCCTCCAAACCTTGTTGAAACTATGTCGCTCTTCAATTACTTTACGACCTCCATCGGAACCTATAGAATTTTGTCACAAGATAAATAGTTAAAGGTCAAAGAAACATACAGATGCATAGGAAGAAAGAACTTACATAAGTATCAAGTTGTCTAATAAAACAAATCATTATCCATGTGTCAATACCAACTGTTGTTAAATGAGAAAATCAACAACCTTGATCAGGTCAAGTATCTCCCATGTTGCCTTATTATCTCCCTTTAAGGACCGGATGTTATTGCTCTTTAAGGATTGGATTGTCCTGGTTCAAGCATTTTATCCAACAGTTGGTATGCATGGTGAAACTTTCTTTCAAATTTCAATATCAACTGGTTGGGTATCACCGAATATTGTTGTTGGGATATGACATAGGCAAGTTAGTTGCCCCACATCTCATATTGCTTGCATAATCATCACCAAACTGAGATAATGTGTGCCAAATCCAAACAAATGTTAAATCACAACAGAAGGAACAAATATATTTCCAAACCCCTAAATGTGACAATTTTACAAATCATAATCAAAGAAACCACTTCCCTTAACATGAAGCCGATCACCTAAATTGGACCAAACATGAGGCAATAGATAATACACACACGTTTCAATGGGGATGCTTGAGGTGGCATCTTCATGCCAAGAAGGCATGACAAGGGCATCTTCTAAACCATAACAACGATTGCATTAATGAAAGCAATAATAATCTGCATATCTAAAAAGAAGAACAGAAGAAACGAAATCAATAAAATCTCAACTCTAGTAATGTGAAAAGTAAAAAGCACAACAAATAAATAAATATAGCAATTGTAATCACTAGAATACACCAACTATGAATACCGACTGATTTTATTGGGCAAAAAAAACAACCACTTACTTCAATTGGAGTAGATCAAAAACTTAAATGTGGAGATAGGATCGTCGATACTTATCTTGGTGGTGGACTGTGGCACGGACGACGACGTCATACAAATCAGCAACTCCTATTGCTTTCGCCCAAGTGAGTCTCCAACGAACATCACCGCCCCTCGACTTTGTTCACTGTCTCCGGCATCAACTAAATAAGGTATCCGAGGAAAATAAGGTATCAGACACAAGGGATTCAACCAAAATAGGGTCGGGACGTAGTCTCCGAGACGATGCCGCTGATGAGTCGCAATCTCCGGTGAAGTGAGGCGAGCCTGATGAAGTCGCCGGCCGGTGAGATGAAGTGTTGCAGTCGTACTCTAGCTCGATCGTCTAGAGAATGTTAACGTGAGAAAACCCTAGTTATCATGTGGGGGCTTTAGGGTTGTTTTTGGATGCTAAGGGTTATCAGTAGAGGGAACAAGGGAGATACTGAGAGAGGATTGGTCGAAAAGGGGTTATAATTGTTTTGGACAAAATTCTACAGGTTCGGATTAAAACGCGCGTTTCATTAAAAATTTATAAAGCGACATGGTTAGACGACACACATTTTAGTTAAGGTGCCCTCCGTGTTTATTTTATTTTATTATTAGACACTAATTTTAGGGCACGCTCAAATGAGTGCCCTCTATCAGCGCGTGTCAGTGATTGCGCGTCGTAAAAGGCTGTTTTTCTAGTAGTGAACGCTCATTTTTTCCTTCTTCAAATTCTGAAACTCGTTGTTGATTTCCAGAAGATCCTGCTCAAAGCAGTATTGCATCTTCAACTACAAAAAATCCTCCCACGACATCTTGCTTGCTTCACCTTTGGGCAATGAATTAGCTAGTAGTTTCCACCAGCTTAGTACTCCATATTTCAACAGAAGAACCGCGAGGGTGGTCTTCTGCCTATTGCTACACTCGTAACTCTCAAACATCGTCTCCATCTCAGAGATCCAGTTCATGACTTCCATCGGCATCGGGCTTCCAGATAGACTCAGTGGTTTGGATGCCATAAAATCCCTGTATTTGCATCCGCGTCCATCATTTCCTCCCTCCTGGTGGTTTTGGCTAACTATCAGTGGGTTGTCTTGACCAACAATCCCACTATAGTTTCCTACTTCTGATTGTCCATCATTCAGCTCGTGCTGTTCAATTGGTACTGTAAGTTCTTCTCGGTTCTATTGAAGTAAACACCTTGTTTCCTCCATTTGGCGATCTAACATCATCTGGATCATCACTTGCACTCCGGCCATCGTCATTGGCTCAGGTGCCACTTCTTCGACAACATGTATTTGTTGTATCACTGGAGGTTGAGGCTGTTGATTGTCATTTACATTGGCATTTTTTACTCCACTTCTGGTTCTTGCCATGATGGTCTATACACAAAATCAGATGTTCAGTGTGTAGTGACGAGAATTAAGATAGGAAAACTTTATCTACGATAGACGTATTAAATCCTCCTTATTACTCCAAAACGTTTACATGCTAGTTCTAATATCGTAGTCAAACGTTTAGAATCCTAAACACATAAACTTTCTAGATTCGGTCGGCAACAAACCATAGATTCGAATAAATAATAGCATATAAGGAATCTTTATAGTTATAGCTATAAAACAAAGCATTTAGCACATAAAAGCATTTTAGGCATCTTTCCTAAAATAAACTAGTGCTTGTGTCTAAAATATAGCAGGCACTCATCTCACAATCATCACTTAGCATTGTAAGTTTAAGTCTAGAAATCCTACAATTTCCTAGTTCGCTTAAACTAGTGCTCTGATACCAACTGTGACATCCCCGAATTCACGACCAGAAAGGACCGATTTGTTTATGCTTTAATTGAAAATCAAAGTATATTTTTAAAGAAATATAATGCGGAATTTTTTCCCAAAAAATATAAAAAAAAAAAGAATTTTTCAAAGCATTTCCATCGAAATGTATTATATTAAAAACCTTGGGATATCATTATTAATACAGATCAAAACAATAAACATAAACAACATAGGCATTATAATATCTATTTATTCTAGTAGACTATAATCCATTGATCTCTCATCAGATCATCACTCCTGTGCTCTCTTTCCACTACCTGTATATGAGAAAACTGAGTGGGTTAAGCTTGGGAGCCTGGTGAGCACATAGGGTTTTCAACCCGCAATAAATAAGTTTATTAATTTCATCAACCAATAACAACCCGATTACCCCGTCCTGTTATGCTCACTTTATGTCCCTAAAACACCTATTGTAAGGGATTTAGCCTAAGGATTATCATCGAGATGGACACTACTGCTAAGGGGGTTCCTTAGCAATAAATGTCCTAAAGGAAACCATGTAGGGGATGGAGTACACCAGTGAGCACATCGTTCACAACACCTAAAAGTTGCAAGCCTACCAGCGTTCCACTGGACTGTCTAGAAGAGTCTGTGGTCGTCATCTATACTCCGCTAGATGACTGGCTCAACAACGACAACACCGAGGCCTCTTAACATTTTATCACACATCATCTTATTACATCTACCCATGTTTTACCGCAACATTTTTGTAGATATAAAATACATATATAGTTTAAATCATTTAAAACTTGTATAAAAACATTCATCCAGCATAGATAGCAAGTATATAGATAATACGCACACATATCACGTAATATATAAAATACTTCATATTTTTGTGTAAGATGAAAGGAACTATGCACTCACCTTAGTAGCGTGATTTTATGTAATATAGGTAGAAACGGTCAGCGTACAAGGTCGTCGGGGCTCGAGATACAAGAAGGGCTTCAGCAAATGAGAGAGCAGAAAGGAAATGGTGTAAGGAAG